ATATTGTGTTTTCAATATGGTGTTTTATAATTAGGAAAGAATTTGTATGATGTTAAATTCAAAATATTTACATATGGTAAGTTTAGTAGTATTTATATATGTTTGGCAATATGTTTTATTATAATAAGAATAATAGAAGTGTTTGGTTAATATAATTGTAGAATTAAGTAAATAAAAAATAAAATTACTTAGAAAAATGTGGGCTTACACATAAACAACAATGACTATCTTTTAATATACAGAGAATATTATTTGTGCATTATATATGCATAAATAATTGTATATATGCATATATAATTGTTTCCACGCATAGCAGGACCATCATCTACATGTTATAATTATCAGAATCAAACATTCAGTTATTAATCGGTGAGATTAATGGAACTACCCATTGTAGCTGCTCCGATCCAAAACCAGGGAACGAATCTCCCATATGAACCTTATTGAGTGGCTAAAAGTAACTTCATGGCTCCACCTCCATTAAACTCGTTTAGCAACGCACATGAAAGTCTTTTAGTCCCTCTGTGTCATTAAGAAGGTTTCATGCATGGTTCGGTTTGAGAACTAAAAAACAAAAAAACAAAAAAAACTGCATGATTTGGTTTAAGATATTTTGAAAAAAAGGTAATTTATATTACCTCAATTCAGTGAATCTCTGTGCGTGCAAGGTACCAATATCGTTCCTCGAACTGAGACGCACTCATCGAAAGATCAAGTACCAATTTAATGGGCCGGAATTGGTGACTCTTTTCTCTTGAATTAATACTAATCTTTTTGACATAGAACTAAATAAAGAAAATGGTGAATTTCAACCCGATCAAATTGTAAAGTGTATTTTTATACTTCAACAAAGTTATAGTGTTTTTTTCAATTTCAACACTAAAAATATCCAAATAAACTATCGAAAATATTAGATTTGAACGTAAAACTATATTGACTTAAACAAAATTAGTCAACAGTTTGTTTTCGCTCACTTAGCTTAGATTACACGATAGTGATGAAGTGTAACACTATTTTGGTCATTTGAGCTCATAAACTTAAGAGTATGTGCAGTGGGAGTCTTTCGTTAAAGTCTCTTAGATAAATGAAAAGTAATAAAATAATAAAAAAATATTATCTAATTGTGAGAGTGTGTCAAAAAAGTGGTGAGAGTGTTTCAAGTGAGAGTTTTTTTATTTTAATTTTTGAGAAACTCTCACAATTAAGTAATATTTTTTATTATTCTATTATTTTTCTTTTATTTGAGAGATTTTGGTAAGAGACTCCCATTGCACTTGCTCTAACACGGTTACAACGAAGTATCATTTTGTCTTTACCAATGTTATTTTGTCTTAACCAAACAACATCGTTTTGTTGACTTTATGGATTCAAATTACCAAAATGACGGTTCAGTTTATGGCCTCACCCTTTTCCCAACTAAATACCCGGTTTAATACGGTTCGTTAAAGAACTAGAACAAGCCAAATAAGAGAAAAAGTTACGCTTAAGTCAATTTGAAATATAACTAAATACCGGGCATAATTCCAATCTTGCATTCTCCAGACGTTTCATTATATAGAATTGCAGACTTATGTAATTATCTCTGGTGATTCTCTCTTTGACTTGCTACTTGTGCTGTTTCTGATTTAGGTACGTGTAAAGCCTGGTCCACAAGCCGAGGAAGATGGGAATTGCCTCACGATCTGGAACCTTGACATATGAAGCTGTAAGGTCTTTTTTTATGTTTAATGTTTGTTCTCTGTCTCCATCTCTCCCAAGTTTTATTTCACCATAGCCTTTGGCCTGGGCAGAATCTCAGAAAATATTATTATTGTTGAATGGGCAGAATCTCAGAACATTCAGGACAATTCGAAGCTATTATTCATGGTTACTATACTGTGCCAAATGTGATTATTTCTTGTGATAATTACTACTGGCCCTGATCTGAACGTTGGTGAAGTTTTAAAAAGATATGTGGTATGCCATGCATGTTTACAAAAAAAAAGGAAAAAGAAAAAAAAAATCACTAAAAAATTATAACGGGTGCTATCTAGTTTGATGAAGAAATTTCCCATCATTTTTATATGTTATGGTTTTTATGGAACCAGTGGCAAGTATAGAGTTGGAAGTGCACTTTTTCACATTAGTTTTCTAGACACCACATATTCAAAATTTGTTGCATAGGACAATCGCTCTATCGCTTCTCTCTTTTCTCTCTTTGGATCTTTGGAAAAAAAAAGATTTACTTCCGGGTTTTTTTTTGTTGCTTTTAGATCCTCATTGAAGGTGTGGATTTTTTTGGTGAAGCGTTGGTGAGAAGGCTTTCTTCTCCGGCAGTGATGAGGCGTGGATTATCCGCTTCATGATGCATTTAACGCAAACATCTCGGCAGTCTAGACTATCTAGAGAAGCCTCCTGACGTTTTACCTCGTGGCCAGGACGCCAGTGGTATCGTGGTGGAGATTTATCGTGGTTCAACTACTCGCACTGCTATAGAAAAAGTTAACACAGTGTATTTGAAAAATGATAAAAGATAGAAAATATTTTAATGTTGTCTAAATTATGTGCGACATAATTTCTTAAAACAAAACAAACTTTGGAAATTCAAGATACTCAGCAAATGCATAAGTTGCACACATATTAACCAAATATAAACAACAACATGGGTCGGTTGATATAATTTTATTATTCAAATTGAAAAGACACAATTACAAAGAAGAGATAGAGGAATAATGAAGACTCAAGGTCAACAAGCCTTAGATGAGCAACATGGCTTAGGTGAGATTCCAATCTAGGTCCACTAGTTTAAACACCGTTCTTTAGAGCATCTCTAGGATAAAGAACCTGTGCCTGGAGGTGTGCGGGGTGTCGGAGACGTTGGGGTGGTCGGTGTTGTTGGTGTTGCTGGTGTGTTTGGCGTTGCTGGGGTGGCTGGAGTGGCAGGGGTCGTTGGCGTGGTCGGGGTGTTTGGCGTGGCCGGGGTTTTTGGTGTGGCTGGGTTGGCTGGGGTGTTTGGTGTGGCTGGGTTGGCTGGGTTGTTTGGCGTGGCTGGGATGCCCGGGATGTCCGGGATGCCAGGGATGTCCGGGATGCCCGGGATGTTCGGGATGTCCGGGATGCCCGGGATGTTCGGGATGTCCGGGATGCCCGAGATGCCCGGGATCGGTGGCAATAATGCGGCAGATGTGTAAGTGAAGAAGAGGAGGTTGAGAGCAAGGAAGAGTGTAAGAGAGGTTCTTGGAGTCATTTGTTTGTCGAGTGGAATAGCTCCAACAATAGGTGAATTAGTACTGTATTTAGTTTTCTTCAAGTGTTTAGTGGGTATTTATAGGGTTCTCATTAGAAGAATGATGATATTTCAATTCCTAAAACTATATATAATATGTACTACGATTGTCGATAAAATAACTTTCATAGATTGTAAGTTGTGTTTTCCGTATTCAAAAACTTTTAATTTTTCATTGAGATATGAATTTGGAAAGTTAGAATTATTTCTTAAACAAAATCATCATTTGATAAACAAAAATCAATTCGTAGAGAAAGAATACTAATAGTCACATTAAAATTTCGGAAGCCATCAATACGAGTTGTGATTGATCTTTGGCTTTTTTTGACTAGATACTTTTAACAGTATGAAAATAAATATATGCATAGAAACGTGAATAAATTTTATATTTTAAAACAGAATAAAAAATCTAAAATTTTATATTTAGAAACAAAGAAAGTATTATTTAACTATTTGTTCGTTGAAAATTAAACCAGACAAATCACATTTAACGAATATAATATAGAGATACCCTTATATATAGATTTAATCTTGCAATATAGCTATACCTTTTTTTGTTGCCAGCAATTTAGCTATATCTTTGATAAACTTATTTTTAAAATTATTCATATTAATTTAGGGCTTTAGAGTTCGTGAAACAAAGTTAATCAAATATCCGAAGCATGCATAATTTGAAGAAACCCAATAATATTTATTAAATATCAGTATTATTTCAAAGAAGTATATTTGAATGAAATTATAATCTTATGATTATGGAACATAGAATAAGACTTATTATTGAGATATTTCATGGTAGGTAATCCGTAATCCAGGCTATATAACTTACGTTGGCCCTTAGCAAGTCGTTTGAATAAACGACATAATTTTGTTAGTGTCCGTTTATAACCGACGTCCTCGCATTTATGTTGTAGGGCATGTAATGTTGAGAGGCAAAAGAGAAAACTTTTGAAGATGATAAGAAGATAAGCGTTTGTTTATTAACAAAGATATGGAAGGAGTGGCTTTGAATCAGTTAACAGATTGGCGCTTTTGCCTCTTCGATTTTTTTTTTGTTTTGTCATAATAGATCTACGTTTCTATTGCCATTTTGCCAAACACAAAGATCCAACCATCTACTTTCACAATTGGACAGGCAAAAATATCATGATTTTTTCTACATGTTTTCTATTTTATTTAGTTGCTTTTCTTTTTCAAACAGAGAAATACTAAATTAAAATCAAAATTAATTTCCAGAACCCATAAAAATCATAGCTTATAAAAATATTTAAAATATCTAAGGGTAACCAATGTACTACAAAGTGCAGATTTTTCTTAAAATATTTGAGAGTAATCGATTCTTGATCTAGACCTACGTAATTTTTTTACATTTTAAGCGATAACCACTAGTCTACAACAACTTAGTCTCTCATATGTCACATTTTGGTTATTTTTGATTGTTGATAAATCACAAGAATTCATTAACCTTTGTTACAAATTTGTATTGTGTGGAAGTGAATTTGTAGTTAAGTTAGAAGAATGAACAGTGTTGGTGGCTAAAAAAATCCCCAAGAAGAGATTACAGTGCTTGGTTTTTTTGTTTTACTATGCACAGGAAAAATTTAAGCTTACAAACATTTTTGTTATCAATTCACACAAAAACTCTACTGGTGAAGAGACCACCTGAGTGGAATGAAAATCAAATATTGATGATGGTTGGGGAAGTTGGAACGACGCTGACTAAAAATATAAAAAGTAATGGCCTATACAGGGATCGAACCTGTGACCTTCGCGTTATTAGCACGACGCTAACTGAGCTAATAGGCCTTTGATGTAACCTACGAGAAGACTTATATTTGTTTAAACGTCAAGGCTTGGATCCGCATCTTAATGGGCCTTGACATACAATATGGGGTTTTATCAAAAGTATCCAAAGCCTACTTACTCTGAAGCAAAGCTCACGGACCTTGAATATGAACAATACCATATTTGGCGGAAAAAAAGAACAATAACATATTTTGGTAAAAGAACATTGAGAAATCTGAAAAAAACTTCTTTTTTTGTGTGTTACCTAATAAGACTGTTTGCTTCATTTCAAGTTCTTAGCAAAGAATTCCAATAACGTGTATATACTATATAGATATGTTTACGTATACATAGAAAAAGAGATCTGAAAATGAAATATAGAGGTTTTGTGGTGCAAGTGCAACAAGAAGGATATATATAACGTGGTGGTTAGAAGATAGCGTCAACATAGCGATCTGGAACCTTGACATATGAAGCAGAAAGGTCCCTTTTTTTATGTCTGATGCTTGTTGGTACCGGAGGCTAAGTGTTAGATCGATCTGAGTTCTCCCTTTTTGCTAGGTAGGGGATTAGATAGATTAGGTCTCAGATTTTCTGAGAACCGATCTATTTCGGGATATATGTTGCGGGTTGAGGCTTGTCGTCCGGATCGGCTTTGCGACATGAACTTATTACCTGGATTCGATATCGCTGATGTAGCCGCAAAGCAGTGTTTCTTGTAATCACCGGTAGTAGTAGTGGATGTGTTTCCTTGTTTCCGAACACCATCAATGTCCAATTTCGAGTCATCGGTTTCCTTCTTTTTTTGAAATTGTAAATTCGATGTAAACCCCATTTCCCAAGTCCATGACCTAAAATCCGGTTGGGATGAAATATTAATTTTTTCTATACAAAAAAAAAAAATCCTTTACAAAATACATTTTTTCTTTTAAAATTAAGTGTTGTTTTAGATCTTTGTTTTCTTTTCAAAAAAAGTGTTGTTTCAATGCAAAACTTTTACAAAAAGTCATAGTTTATCCTCATAAAATAAAGTCTAATTACGTAGAGAAATAGTAAACCTGTGTATTTGAAATATGATGAAAGTTAGAAAATATTTTATATGTTGTCTAAATTATGTGAGACATATTTTCTTAAAACAAACAAACTTTAGAAATTCAAGATACTCAGCAAATGCATAAGTTGCACACATAAAAACCAAATATAAACAACAACAAGCCTTAGATGAGCAACACGGCTCATGTGAGATTCCAATCTTAGGTCCACTAGCTTAAACACCGTTCTTTAGAGCATCTCTAGGATAAAGAACCTGTGCCTGGAGGTGTGCGGAGTGTCGGAGACGTTGGGGTGTTTGGCGTTGCTGGGGTGGCTGGAGTGGCAGGGGTGGCTGGAGTGGCAGGGGTGGCTGGCGTGGCTGGAGTGGCAGGGGTGGCTGGCGTGGTCGGGATCGTTGGCTTGGTCGGGGTGTTTGGCTTGGTCGGGGTGTTTGGCTTGGTCGGGGTGTTTGGCGTGGCCGGGATGCCCGGGACCGTGATGCCCGGGACCGTGATGCCCGGGATGACCGTGATGCCCGGGATGCCCGTGATGCCCGGGATGCCCGTGATGCCCGGGATCGGTGGCAATAATGCGGCAGATGTGTAAGTGAAGAAGAGGAGGTTGAGAGCAAGGAAGAGTGTAAGAGAGGTTCTTGGAGTCATTTGTTTGTCGAGTGGAATAGCGCCAACAAAAGGTGAATTAGTACTGTATTTAGTTTTCTTCAAATGTTTAGTGGGTATTTATAGGGTTCTTAGAAGAATGATGATATTTCAATTCCTAAAACTATATATAATATGTACTACTATTCATAGATTGAAAGTTATGTTTTCCGTATTTAAAAACTTTTAATTTTTCATTGAGATATGAATTTGGAAAGTTACGATGTATATCAAAATAAAATATATGATATTTTGGTTAAAACCCTTGTTTAAAAAATCGCTAGGCGCTCGGCATGGGCCTACCGATTAATCGGAAAATCGGATTAAAATCGGGGATTAATCGGGGATTAGTTTTAGGATTATTTTAATATTTTTAAAACATATTAATCCAATATTATTTCAAAATTGTAGTAAACACATAAAAATATATTTTTGAGACAAATTTTTATGATTTTTATTAAAATTTGATAATAAGTTATTGTAAAACATTACAAACTCCCAATTCAAATGATTGAATAATAAAAATAAAAAGTTTTTTTATACTAGCAATCTAAAAATAATCGGGGTATGTAAGATTAGGCGGGGAATAATCGGATTATGCGAGAAGTAATCAGATTAGACGGAGAGTAATCTGGTGATTGATTTCTTTAGGGGATTATTCATTAATTGAGGCGGATATGATGTGCCTAGCGATTAAGTGGGGTGTAATCGGGGTAGGCGGAGATTTTTAGAACAGGGGTTAAAACACACAAATTTAAAAAGAATTATTTCTTAAACAAAATCATCATTTGATAAACAAAAAATCAATTCGTAGAGAAAGCATACTAATAGTCACATTGAAATTTCGGAAGCCATCAATAAGAATTGTGATTGATCTTTGGCTTTTTTTTGACTAGATACTTTTAACAGTATAAAAATAAATATATGCATAGAAACGTGAATAAAATCTATATTTTAAAACAGAATAAAAACTCTAAAATTTTATATTTAGAAACAAAGAAAGTAGGGGATGTGCTTTTAGTCAAGTGGTTAAGTCCACTTGACTCCGCCTTCTCCACCGGAGTTCGATTCCACTAAATCGCATTACCCCGCGTAATAGGAATTGGCTATAGATATTGCTTTGTCGATTCAAATATATCAAAAAAAAAAAAAAAACAAAGAAAGTATTATTTAACTATTTGTTCGCTGAAAATTAAACCAGACAAATCACATTTAACGAATCTAATATAGAGATACCCTTGTATATATTTAATCTTGCAATATAGCGATACCTTTTTTTGTTGCCAGCAATTTAGCTATATCTTTGATAAACTTATTTTCAAAAATATTCATATTAATTTAGGGCTTTAGAGTTCGTGAAACAAAGTTAATCAAATATCCGAAGCATGCATAATTTGAAGAAACCCAATACTAATTATTAAACATCAGTATTATTTCAAAGAAGTATATTTGAATGAAATTTTAATCTTATGATTATGGAACATAGAATAAGACTTATTATTGAGATATTTCATGGCAGGTAATCCAGGCTATATAACTTACGTTGACCTTAGCAAGTCGGTTGAATAAACGACATAATTTTGTTAGTGTCCGTTTATAACCGACGTCCTCGCTCATTAATTTTGTAGGGCATGTAATGTTGAGAGGCAAAAGAGAAGACTTTTGAAGATGATAAGATAAGCGTTTATTGAATGAACAAAGATATGGAAGGAGTGGCTTTGATCAGTTGCCGGATTGGCGCTTTTGCCTCTTCGATATATATTTTTGTCATAATAGATCTACGTTTCTATTGCCATTTTTCCAAACACAAAGATCCAACCATCTACTTTCACAATTGGACAGAAAAAATATCATGATATTTTTTCTACATGTTTTATATTTTATTTATTTGCTTTTCTTTTTCAAACAGAGAAATACTAAATTAGAGTCAAAATTAATTCATGAACCCATTATAAAAATCATAATATCTTTGAAAATTAAAAATATCTAAGGGTAACCAATTAATGTACTATAAAATGCAATTTTTTCTTAAAATATTTGAGAGGAATCGATTTTTGATGTAGATCTACGTAAAATTAAGCGATAACTACTTGTCTACAACAACTTAGTCTCTCATATGTAACATTTTGGTTATTTTTCTTTGTTGATAAATCACAAGGATTCATAAACCTTTGTTAAAATTTTGTATTGTGTGGAAGTGAATTTGTAGTTAAGTTAGATGAATGAACAGTGTTGTTGGTTAAAAAAAAATACCCAAGAAGAGATTACATCCAGTGCTTGGTTTTTTGGTTTTACTATGCATAGGAAAAATTTAAGCTTACAAACATTTTTGTTATCAATTCACACAAAAACTCTACTGGTGAAGAGACCACCTGAGTGGAATGAAAATAACATATTGATGATGGTTGGGGAAGTTGGAACGACGCTGACTAAAAATTAAAAAGAAATGGCCTATACAGGGATCGATTTTTGATGTAGATCTACGTAAAATTAAGCGATAACTACTTGTCTACAACAACTTAGTCTCTCATATGTAACATTTTGGTTATTTTTCTTTGTTGATAAATCACAAGGATTCATAAACCTTTGTTAAAATTTTGTATTGTGTGGAAGTGAATTTGTAGTTAAGTTAGATGAATGAACAGTGTTGTTGGTTAAAAAAAAATACCCAAGAAGAGATTACATCCAGTGCTTGGTTTTTTGGTTTTACTATGCATAGGAAAAATTTAAGCTTACAAACATTTTTGTTATCAATTCACACAAAAACTCTACTGGTGAAGAGACCACCTGAGTGGAATGAAAATAACATATTGATGATGGTTGGGGAAGTTGGAACGACGCTGACTAAAAATTAAAAAGAAATGGCCTATACAGGGATCGATTTTTGATGTAGATCTACGTAAAATTAAGCGATAACTACTTGTCTACAACAACTTAGTCTCTCATATGTAACATTTTGGTTATTTTTCTTTGTTGATAAATCACAAGGATTCATAAACCTTTGTTAAAATTTTGTATTGTGTGGAAGTGAATTTGTAGTTAAGTTAGATGAATGAACAGTGTTGTTGGTTAAAAAAAAATACCCAAGAAGAGATTACATCCAGTGCTTGGTGTTTTGGTTTTACTATGCATAGGAAAAATTTAAGCTTACAAACATTTTTGTTATCAATTCACACAAAAACTCTACTGGTGAAGAGACCACCTGAGTGGAATGAAAATAACATATTGATGATGGTTGGGGAAGTTGGAACGACGCTGACTAAAAATTAAAAAGTAATGGCCTATACAGGGATCGAACCTGTGACCTTCGCGTTATTAGCACGACGCTCT